GAATTATTTTGGCGGTTAAATCCTGTTATTTTTACGACGCAGAAATATAACAGTCGTCGTGGTGTTTCTACGGTTCACGCCAAATCATAGGACTAATAAGGTTCAAAAAGGATCCCTCTTGTTATTTTTTCATAATCGTAGACTCCACACATGTTTTACACACTATATTCCGTATCCAGGCTTGTTTCAAATGGCCATTGAAAGTACTCCATGTAGACATTTTTCACGAAGTCGGACACATTTAAACAGAATTTTTTGTCACATTAAGACAAAATCTACTTAGATTGTTTACACAGGTCTTTCTAGACGAAGCCATTGCAAGAAAGAAACAGAAACTAGTAAGACGTTGACGCTAGCGATATACACAGTCAAATAGAGAGAACATTTTAAGGGGGTACCTGAAGTACCTAATACTAGAGCTGCTCAAAAAAATCTGAGAGTAGATTTAAAATAAGCGAGCCTAAATTGGTAAACAACAGGTGAAAAATCTCATGCCTCAAAATAAAGTTCGATTTAGTTGTGCACTGTAATAAACTTGAATCAGAATGAATATTACTGGAGTTTTTTCCCAACACCAAATCGTTATTTTTAACACCTCGACACGTGTTTCGATCACCAAGTGATCATCTTCAAAGAGGAAGGAAGATCTTCCTCTTTGAAGATGATCACTTGGTGATCGAAACACGTGTCGAGGTGTTAAAAATAACGATTTGGTGTTGGGAAAAAACTCCAGTAATATTCATTACTAAACCAAAGGTTCCAAACAGTGCATCATAAGTTGTAAAATAATCTCACGCTCATACTGTGTGACATACATTATGGTGCCCTAAAGAATATTCCAGAAGATGGTCCATTGGTATGATTACATGAGAGGATCAGGAGAGCGTCTCCAGAATGGTGGATGTGGTTAGTAACCTGCAGCCATGGAAGGGCGTCAAGTCCCAAATTTGTGTTGCTTACCTACCTGACAAGAAATTTATGGCTCTGATAGCATAGTACTTAGTCTGTGCCTGCCCAGCCGCGGACCGGATCAAGTTTCAACGTTTGGCAAAGAAGCTTTTTACCAGTTGACATGAAAGATCAATCACCAAATAAAATAATCAGAAGTTGTATTTATTTGGTTGAGATTGTCTAGTAACGGTTCTGTTAACCTTTTATAGCGGCATATCCAACGGGGTGAATAGAATCACTTAGGTTCAGTATGTTGAACATCATGTCATTGACATAGATCAGGGGTCTCCAAACTTTGAAGCCTTCGGGCATAATAATTTTTTCAGTTTGTTCCAACGGCCAATTTCTGCCCATAACTATATTTCTAGACTAGGATAGTCGCAAAGTGCGTGACCTAAGCAAACTTACGCTTTTTTTGCATTTCAATTATTATTGTGTATTGTGACACTTAACGACATCTATTGGCGAATAGTGGTACTATGTACCATCTTTTTCAGCTACCCGC